GGCTCAAGCAATCCTCATGCCTATGCCTCCCATAGTGCTGGAATCGTGCCGGCCAGTGTTTTTGAACCCATGCCACCAAATCACGTTACTGTTGCCACTGCATTTTTCTCCCCTCTTCTTTGTATGTCTTTCTATTCCATGAACTGATTTTAATTATCTAGGTCCTTATAATCTTGTGTTGACTCTGGGTAACTCCTTCTCCGATCTCTTGTAGTACATTTTAAATGAAACTGCTAGAAGCATTTAAAGAGGGCTTCAGTAATCTTGCTGAACTATTCTATCTGGGATTGAGGCCAAAGTGATTTCCCACTGTAATTGACCTCCTCTGATTTCTTATTGTCTCTATCTGCTTTTCTGCTCAAGTGTACCTTACTGACAAGCCACCTTTTTCCCTGGCTCTCTTCCCCATTGCTCTTTTGATTGGTCCAGAACTCTTGATTTTGATCTTTTGTCTTCTTGATTCAGTGCTTTTGGTATTGGAAACGGGCTTTGACTTTTGGCATCAGGCATACTTTTGTTTAAACCCCAACTCTAGTTCTGACCAGCTGTTTATCTATGTAGTATCTGGACAGATAACCTCTCTGAACCTCTGTTTTCCCATTGGTGAAATAGGCCATTACCATGTACCTCCATTACAGGTTGGTTGTCAGGATTAACTGAAATCTGTATTAAATTCACCTGACATACTGGTGAATTAAAGCTTATCTCCTTTTCCCTTCCCACCTGCCTAATTCAGTAGTTGGTTCTAACTATTGTGAGAGGCAAATAAGATTTGTAAAGATTAACTAAAACTAACAGCTTAGAGAACACTAAGAAAGTCATAAGTACAAGCAACCAGATGTAAACAGTGGATCTCACTGATTCATGAAAGCTAATGATAGTTTAAATGGCACTGCCTGCCTTTCTTCCTTCTATTTTTTCTTATTAAGTATTGTGTTTGATCCTTAAAGGTGATGATATTTCTGTCACTATATGCTGAATCTTAACTTTGTCTTAACTTTCGCACACCCTCTTGAGGCCTTACCAGGGTTCAAGATCCCTGGAAGAGGGTAAGGGACTTTTGCTTGTTAAAATAAACTGGAGCAATTTATTATAAAAGCCCTTTTTAGAAACCTTGTAATTTATTAGTAAAAACCACTAATTTTGTACTTTTACTATGTATTATTTAGAAATATTCATCTTTGCTTAATATGCACACAAATGTGCATACACACATGAACTCACCCATCACCCCAGGTGCTTTTAAGTTGAGGGGAGCACTTTCTTTCCATATTAATATTTTATTTTGTTTCTTCTGAATTTATAAAAGATGTGAGGTTGGATAATGAATATGCTTTTCAATTTTTCCTGCCTTTCCCCTAGGCTTATCACTGTCAAAAATAACGTAAAAAAACAAAAATTTACTTGCAAAGATTCCTTAAACAGACATTTTATTTCACTTGTGAGTCATTAAATGGAGATTTAGATAACTTATTGAAAACAATTTTCTGTGCCTTATTTGTGATACCAGAGAAGCATTGAATTGAAATGCTTTCTCATTTGTACATTATCCCTTTTAAATAAAATACAAAACATTCCTGCTTTGCTTTGTGGAATTGGAGACAGGTTCTTCAGATTTTACTGTTACTTCATAAACATTCATAAAGATATTTAGATTCCTTCTTGGTTCTGGAAACCTAGCCTTATCGTTAATTTTGTATCTTAGAGTGAAAAATGGTAAAGTATGATACCTGTTCATTTAAATATGTGGACTGCTAATAAGTATAATATCTAATGTGACTTTATTATATTAACTATATGCATGTGAGTGCTTTGTTATTATTTTCTTTTACATATTTGGTTTCTGTGATAAGCCAAAGCAAACCAATTTTCTCATGTCTACAATTTACAACGTTAATTTCTTGTTGATTTATATCATTTAAGATTTTTTTTCCCTGATACCTTTCCTTTGAGGAGTTTGAATTATATAACTAATGATGAATATGTAACAGATAGTGTTGTAAAATTTGAAAAGAAAATCGTTACTCTATTTTTTATTGATTAAAAACAGGTTCATAACTATCTGAACTCCCCAGAAAGCAAGAATTATACTCTGACTCTGATTTATTACATTCATTTACAAATATATTTATTATGTAAATAGCCATATTTATTCAATGGTTTTTCTTTTTATTCTTACAATTTTAGTCACATTTCTATTTTTCTATCACAAACTCCTTTTTCCTTCATTCTGATTTTTTTCTGCAGACCTTTAAAAAGTGATTTACCTAGGTTTAATTGCAGCTGAGGCTACATCATCACAAATCAAGAGAGGCTCTACCTATATATCGGAAAAAGAACAGTGAGGGAGGTGAGTGTGGCTGTGTAGCTCTGAAGTCACAGGTAGACCCATAAGCCACCATCTATGGGAAGCATAGGCAACAGAAATCCGATGTGCTTCAGGTACACTTCATCATTTATACTCATAACTACCTTCCAAGGAAAGTACACTTACTATTCCCATTTTACAGATGGGGAAACAGGCTTAGAGAGGTTAAGTATCTTCTCCAGCGTCACAAAGCCCAGGTCTGCCTGACTGTTGATCCTGTGTTCTTAGACATTGCTTCCCAGCTCCCAATGAAAACACTTTGTGACTTCCTGGATCTTCTTTTTAAACAGCACATTTCAGGGTCATGTCACTTGCTGTAGTCTGCCAGCAAGCGATAGCTACCATAGCAGCAGAGCAGACTTTTGGTTTGGCATGCTCACAGCACTGGTGGTGCCAGGCCCCATTGGTATTTGTTGGTTGATTGTCATAGTGCCATCAGGAGTGGAATGGCTTTCTGATCATAATATTGACATGTATGAGGCCAAGATACAGTTACACTTGATGACATAGGCTTAGTTAAACTTACTCTTGAACTGAAGGATTAGATTTAAAAAACAATACACGTGCATGGGAAAGATTGTTAGTTTCACATGATTCACCATAGAGCTGGGCCTTCCTTTACTCAGCTGCAGAAAGAAGTGTGATGCAGCTCTCCAAAGGCTTGGTTATCAGATATCATGTCACCTGAGATTACAACATTGGTTGAAATTTCCTTAAAAATCACCTATCTTACCTTAAAATTTATATGTATTTTACATTCTATTCAATACATGTATGCTATAATGTAAAAAATGTTTACATTACTTACCATTGAGTAAGACTGCTGCTCTAGGAAGGTTCTCTCTCTCTCTCTCTCTCTCTTTTTCTCTCTTTCTCTCTCAACTTTAAGACTTCTGAGTATAATAGCACCACTTTGTCTTTCAAGGTTTCTGGAACAAAGTGTGATTATATGTGAGAGATCAACTCTTTTATTATGTATGAATTGGCTTCTTTAAGAAACAGTCTCTTTTGATGCAGTGTAATCTTTAAATTTTCTTCATAAAGTACTTCTGAGAGAAAATGAACTCTTCAATGAAGAGGGGATGAATGATTGTCCCTGTAATACTCAAGCCGTGGCACTGTCATCAGGACATCTGTGGCAAAAACCTCTAGGTGTCCCTGTGAGCTACTAAAGTGTTAGTTTCTCCTAATCGAACTGGCTCTGAAAGACTGGTGATATGGAAAGATCTGAGCCATGGGAAGTGTAGTTACTAATTAGTTCTGTAACCTTATATTTATATTCTCTGGAACTCAGTTTCTTTATCCATAAAATGAAGCGTTCAAACACAATGATAACAGCCTTGACATCACTTAAAAAAATAAAAAAAGAGGAATCAAGTTATTTGCTAGACTTGACTGCACAAAGCTGAAAAGTTAAATTTTAAAAATTCCACAGGTGACTGTGGTCTGGGAGGTGTGTGCATGTGTGTCAGGTAATTGAAAGATCAACCTGAATGGAACATTTTGTGTCAAGTCCAGATGTACCACTGTTATGTCCCTAGATTATCTTTTAACTCTGGGAAGTAACCAGTGTTTTTACTGTACAGGTAAATAAGAAAGTTAGGTTTAAATCAAGTTTGAATACAGTTTATACTTGGAGTCGAGGAAAAAGGATTAATCTTGGACTTATTTTTTTTAATGTATTCTCTGTGGTAACCTTAAGAAAGCACCTCACAGATACTACGACTATAGGAAGCGTAAATGATCAAGGGCCTCAACTGTTGTACTCCGAAATTCACTGCTGCCTGTATGCTTAGGACTTGCTTCCCAAGGGCTGCTTCTAGCCGTGGACTGAGGGCAGCAGGGTTGCCAAGCTGGCCCCTCTATGGGGGACACTTGGCTCTAGCACTCCCTGATGCTGGCCCCTCCTTAGCCTAGCAATCTGGGACAATTCCGCCTAACCTGGCATCTCTCCTCCACTCAGGGTCAGATTTGCATTGTGGTCCATCAGATTTCCTAGTCTTTATTGGCTCCCTCCCCATTTTCTATTTTAGGAATTTTAAAAATGAAATTCTTGCATGTTCAATCCTGTCTTGGCACTTGTTTCTCAGAGGTCTTAGACTAACACTTCTTCCTACTATTTCCATAGAAAGATATTATCATAGGAAATTACTAAGGAGAGAAAGGTTGTTTACCATAATTTTAGTGACAACAATATTCTACTACTGCTAGATTCTTACGTTTTGGAAAGTTTAAACTTTATGTAATTGAAAGCTAGCCTCTCAGAAATTTTTTCACATATTGGTTTATTGGTAGTCTTTGTATGTAAACCAGCTTTCCGAATGACTTTGGATTGTTACAATAGTCAGATCAGGAGCTCTTGTTTTTTAAAATGTTAATTTACTCAGGATAATTGAATGGCTGTGAGATATTAAGCAAGTCATAAGTTATCTCATCTTTGCAATATCTAAGGATATTTAATGGGAAGTTAAAAGGAAATATTTTTGAGGGTGTATTGATAACTGCTTTTAGTAGAAGAAATCAGTGTTAATGATAGTGGCAAATTTGTTTCTTGCAAACATTTGGTAATTCTTGCTTTCATTTTGTATCATTTATACAAAGGTGCTTATTTTTTATATGCCTTTCTTTGCAGAATCATAGTGAAAGATTCGTTTTCATTGCAGAGTGGTATGACCCAAATGCTTCACTTCTCCGACGTTATGAACTTTTATTTTATCCAGGGGATGGATCTGTTGAAATGGTAAATAAGCCTTTCTTTGTTTGGATGTTGGCACAGGGGTGAATGTGGGACAGGGAGAGAAATAAGATTGCCTTTTGTAGAATTGCTTTAAAATTCATTTTTATATATGAGAATTCTCTTCTTTGGTATTCATTATAATTTCAATCTGAGAAGATAACTTTGTCTTTTTTTGTTTGTTTGTTTGTTTTTGAGTTGGAGTCTCACTCTGTCGCCCAGACTGGAGTGCAGTGGCCGCTCCCGGCCACCACAGCCTTGACCTGCTGGGCTCCAGCGATCCTTCCACCTCAGCCTTCCAAGTAGCCGGAATTACAGGCGTGCGCTACCACACTCGGCTGATTTTTTGATTTATTGTAGAGATGAGGTCTTACCTGCCCAGGTGGGTCTCAAACCCGCGGGCTCAGGCAATCCACTCACCTCAGCCTCCCAAAGGCGCGGGATTACAGGCTGAGCCACTGAGCCCAGCTCTGTCTTTTTTTTAATGTCAAGAATAGGAATATTTTTTGGTTAGAAAGATGAAGTGGGATTATTCATGTTTGGATTAAGCAGTAATTGATAAGTGGCTATAGATACAGATTAGCATGGTCATAAATTTGTCACTGTTATTGAAAGCTGTTATTGTTACAGAAAGTCAAATTGAAGAGGATTGAATTCTGTTGTGTTTTTTTTTTTTTGTCTCCCTTCATTGGCAACACCTTTAACAAATGGGTCTATTTGGTATTGAGATTTTGTGTATGCAAGAAAGAAAAATTGGGGCATATAACTAACTTTCTTTGGGATTCCATAGGCACTAATTTGCTGAAATGATTTGGTAATAAATCTTTCTATTCAGGGTTTTTAAAAGTATTAATTTTGTAATAAGCTTTTATGTTATTACTGGATTAGATTAGGAAATATGTTAAAAATTATAATTAGTATCTGTAGCAAAAAAGAAACAGAATGCAACCTATCTCTGATAGGACAGAGTTAAGAACTATTTCTGCCTTATAATAAGATGGACATTCTTACTGATTTTTAAAATTGTATTGTTTTTTATTGTAGCATGATGTAAAGAATCATCGCACCTTTTTAAAGAGGACCAAATATGATAGCCTGCGCTTGGAAGATTTATATATAGGCAACAAAGTGAATGTTTTTTCTCGACAATTGGTATTAATTGACTATGGTGATCAGTATACAGCTCGCCAACTGGGCAGCAGGAAAGAAAAGTAAGACAACAGTTTCATCATCTTTTGTCATTCCTTGTGGGCCTAAAGTCAGTTTGAATCAAGGTGAGGGGATTTAACCGTAGAAGAATGGACAGGACCTGGAAAGCGATTGCCCTCATTCTGTCTTTTTTTCAGTTGTTAATGAATAATATCATAATTGTATATGTCTTCATTCTGTCTTCATTCATTTTATATTTCCTGTAGCACTTAGCACATGTCCTCCCACATTGCAAACACCCTGTCTGTATTAACTGAATGAATTAATGAATAATGTTTTAAAGTTTATTTTCTACTCTTTCCTTTTTCCATTTTCTCCCTGCTCTCAAATGATGACTTTTGATCTAGTTGAAAAGCAAGTTTTTGTCTAGATTGTTTGTAACTAATGTTTTCAATTCTTGAGCTTTATTTACAGTTATGTGTCCAATAAATTGTTGACTGATGAAGAAAGACAATACAAGCTTTATAAAAAGAAAAAAAGATATATAAAGAAATTGTGATACAGGGAGATCGATCTGTCTTGTTCACAACTTTATCCCTAAAAACTGTTGTAGTGATAACTCAAACAGTAGTTATTCACAGGGTGTAGCCCACAAAAATTTGTTAAATGAATGAATGAATGAGTTTACCTCAGTGGAAATGTCTGGAGGTACAGTATTTCTGGAGGAAGAGTTTCTCAGTGGCTGGCATCCCTGCCTTCCTCTCTCTCTCCCATTGCAAGTACACATCGTGTGTCTTCACAAGTACACAACGTGTGTCTATTTCTCTCTCTCTCCCATTGCAAGTACATAGCATGTGTCTTCACAAGTACACAACATATGTCTATTTCTCTCCCTTTTGTTTGTCAAAGCTGCATTCGTCATTCTGACTTTCTCTCAGTTTTGATTTTAAGAGAGACAAAAGTTGGAGATGCAGTCTAATTTTTATTTGACTTTAGAAATCAGGGACTTTTGAGGCCAGGTGCAGTGGCTCACACCTGTAATCCCAGCACTGTGGGAGGCAGAAGCAAGCAGATTGCCTGAGCCCAGGGGTTCAAGACTGGCCTGGGCCACTTGGTGAGACCTCGTCTCTACAATGAATCAAAAAATTATCTGAGTGTAGTGCCACATACCTGTGGTTCCAGCTACTTGGAAGGCTTAGGTGGAAGGACCACCTGAGCCCAGCAGGTCCAGGCTGTGGTGGTGTGAGCACACCACTGTACTACAGCCTGGATGACAAGAGTGAAATTGCAACTCAAAAAAAAAAACCAAAAAAAAAAACCCAAGGGCTTTTGATAATGTTTTCTTCTGGATATCAGTTATCAATTTTCAGTATTCCAAAGTGATGTTTTAATTTTCAATCTTTACATTTATGAGTTTCAACTTTCTGAGTCTAGAATTATTATACTTAAAATGAAATTTTAATTTCTTTGTCTTCTTTCCTGGATCTGATTTCTGTGGTTTATATTTAATATGGTTTTGGGAGACTTTTTTTGAATCTGCAGCATGATTGTTACTGTAATTAAAAATAGAAATCATTGGTGGCAGTTAAGGCATGTGTATGAAAAGTTCCAAAAACTAATTCAATGGGAAAAAAAATCAAAATAATTTTTGAGATCTGCCACTTACATCATGAGTTGATTACCTAACATCTGAGTCCCTCATCATAATATGGCATCTCTTTCTGTGCTGTCCCTAGCATTTCTTTGCAAGCTCTTTATAATTCTTTAGGTGATCTGATGCTCAGTGTGAGTATTAGTATACACGTGGTGACAGGTCAGAGGGGTGGTGTGTGATTCATAAAAAAGGAAGACCAATGATTCCCAGAATAACTATGAAATAGGAAAAAATTGACAGTTAATAAGTAGTAATGTTATATTGTTATGAGGGCTTAATGGTAAAAGTCTTTGTGACTAAGGAAGTACCAATCATAATTCCTTCATGACATCTAATACATATACATAGCTTTTATTTATGGAGCACCTGCTATATGCCAGTCACTGTGACGTGTACTTTATATACATCTTAGCTCAACACTACTTTAAATTTTAATTTAAACTAGCAAAATCAGTGAATTAGTGCATCAGAGTTAACAGTCTGACCTAATCAAAGTAAAATAATAGCCATAACAATTATAATTTATATATTTAACTTTGATTTGTCTGAATTTAATGTTATTAAATGTATTTTATAGAATGAGTAAGTAACTTGATCACAGACACACAACTAGAAAGTAAAGGGAAACCCAGCAAGATTCTGTTGTGTTCTGCTCTAAAATGTTTTCTCTTTCTACTAAACATCTTATTAGTATGCTGGCAAGTAGTATTTAATGAGACTGACTTTAAAACAGGAGGAACAGAAGAATTCTATTTTAATGTGAAGACAAATTTGAAATATTTGGTCATTATAAATATCGTTAATGAAAATACGTGCAGTGTTATATATTTTACTGACTTAAATTGTTTCACCATTTTATCTTATGATTTTTTTTCTGAACTATACATGGGTTAGTAAATCCAGCAACCATTTGGGTGATTTAAATAAACTTTTTTTGAATCCAATTATTTTTTTAAAATGTATTATTTAAATAACAAAAAGTAAGCATATGGAAATATAAGTATATGTTTATCAGGGTCCCACAGAAACATCTTCTGTGTATAAATTGTAATTTAGTCCAGTGCTTAGTTTTGTGTAGTATCAAGAAAAGTTTGTGAGCTAACTACATATTCAACTCCTGGAGTCTTTCTGGAGTAAAACCTGTGGTAAGAGGGATGGGTAATGTTGATCTCCATGAGCCTGTCAGCTAATTGGGAGGTTATTATCTACAGAATTTAATATCATTCATCTGAACTCACAGCTTCAGCTTTCCAATTCCCTTTGACTGTAGAAATCTGACCTTTGATTCACATTTCTATCCTGTCTTTACAAAGATCCTTTAATCTAATGGATAAAGGTGATTAGTTGTCAGTGAGTTGTAGTATTTGACTTTAATATTACCTAGTAATGAATTAATGCTTTATGAGCCTATTGTTTAGAGGTAGACATAGAACAATCTGTATCTTCCTAAAAGTGTATTACTCCAAACCAGAAATACTGAAATAGTTTCATATGAAGCTATATGTATATATATATGAATGATAGAAGAATTTTTACATGATAGACTGCTGTTCCACATGTGATATATGAGGTCTTAAAATATTTGGTAGCTTATATATAGTTAGAAGTTTGTAAAACTCAATGAAAAAAAGCTAGTATCCTATTAATTTTGAGTATTCAGACACTTAAGTTTAGCAATCCTCATTCCTATTGAGTCTCAGCCAGAAAGCAAACAGTTTAATCAAATTAAAGGGATAAAGACATCATCACTAGGTTAGGTGAACAGTAATAAGGGCAGTGTATAGTAATCTTTGATCCTAATCTTTGATCTAAGTCCAAGTTATTTGAGGCTTTATCACAGCAGAAACTCAATGACAGTAGATTCCCCTGTCCTCATGAAGATGTACTAAAATAAAATGGGAGTAGACAGCAAACCATTCTTTAGGTGGGACCTATGCTTAGCAATGGCTTAAGAATGCTCTCTCTGGAGGCCGGGAGATTGACCTAAATTACCTTCTGAGTTTTTAAAATTTTTTTTATTTTTTATTTTTTTAAATTTTTAAATTTTTTTACTTTTAAAGAATTTTTATTGTAAAGATGTGGGGTACAATTCAGGGTTAGGTATACAAACATTTTTTTTTTTTGAGGTGGAGTCTCACTCTGTCGCCCAGACTGGAATGCAGTGACCGCTCCCGGCCCCTGCAGCCTCGACCTGCTGGACTCCAGCGATCCTTCTGCCTCAGCCTTCCAAGTAGCTGGAACTGCAGGCGCATGCCACCACACCGGCTAATTTTTTTGATTTATTGTAGAGATGAGGTCTTACCAAGTTGCCCAGGCGGGTCTCGAACCCACGGGCCCAGGCAATCCACTCACCTTAGCCTCCCAAAGCATGGGATTACAGGCTGAGCCACCGAGCCCGGCACCTTCTGAGTTTTTTAATACGACCAATAATTTTAAGTATTTGCTTAACCCAAATATGCCTTAATGATAATAATTTTTTTAAGGTACTGAAATAGTACTTCATATAGTTTCTAGATTTAGGGTTTTTTTTAGGGAATACTTATGAATGTACATGTATTTCCTGAGATTAGAATTTGATTCATAGGAACTATCTGCATTTTTTATATTTGAAGATTTGGAAATATCACAAGATAGATATTTGAAAAAATTTTATTGGGAGAAAAGTGTTATAGAATGTTTTATGTTGAGACTTTGAAGCAGCCTCAGGGTTCAAGTGCTATGTACTTAAGCAGGTATTGGGATATAATAATGGCAAGTGACTTAAAAAACATTACAAATTAATAATGCTAAAAACCCACTCTTCCCCTTCCCTATCCCAAGTGGAATAAATGAAGTTAGAGGACACTACAAATGATTCCTATCTCTTCCCCTGGTTGCTATGGTTCTGCACTCCTTGTTTCTGCCTCTACCTCTCTAATTCTTCTCAGAGTCATTTTGATGTCTCCTTAAATGACAGAAACCAAAAAGACTTCTGGTGTCCCTAGGGTCTGTCCACAGCCCTTTTTCCTCATTCTGTTTACTCTCCCAAGGGATTCCATGTACTTCCATGACTTCAACTATACATATGTTGCTTTCCAAATTTATATTGTCAGCCCAGCTGCAAAACCATATGTTCAACTTTCTTCTGAAACTTTCCATGTGGATTTCTCACAGGCACTTAAATATTAACAAATTCTCTTTCATTGAAAAACTGCTACTTCTGTTCACTAGCCCCACATTCATGCAATCATAGACTTAGAAAATTGGGAACTGTCCTTGAGTCCCGTCTTTATTGTAACCTACACACAGATGGGGACTTAATCTTATCAATGTACTTGCCTCTTTCAAAAATCTCCCTTATTTCTCTTTTCCATCCTCCACATTCCTTGTATTTAAATCAGCTTCTTCTTGTCTCTCAAGCTCAGTTAG